AAAAAAAAATAAATTTAAAAAAAGACGTTTGGGCAACAGCTACACAGGTTTTAAAAATCTTTGCCAGCCAAAAAAAACAGTCACTAAGTGAGGCAATTATGAAAATACTGAATGTAAGCACATATACTTTTATCAAGACCTAACACAAAGATAATGGCTAGCAATGGTGAACATATTTAGGGGTCACAAAAGATACAAACATTCTTCACTCTAAAAATGACAGTTATGACAATCTTTGTTGATTTATCATGTACCAGAAGCCAGATACCCAAAGCATATTCTATGGGTAGGTTAATAATGGCGTATGCCCTATAAGCACTGTATTGCATATATCATGCACCCCTGAAGTATTCTGCTTTCAAGTGATCTTTTACCTGTTAAAATACCTTTTTGAAACATTTAAAAAAAGCAGTGCAAGCATAGAGACTCCAGTGGTTGGGTACAATTGCAGAAAAAAAATCTTACCTCTCTTCTGGACATTCCTCCAAATATTTCTCTACTCTTTTGTAGAGTGGATACAGTCCTTCAATGTCCAACATGTCCAACATCTGGGTCTGGAGGGTCTTGTATAAAATACAACCTTTAGGTAATCCTGTGGTCTCCACATTGTGTTTACCTGTCAGAAATCATTCACTCTTCTCAGTATACAAAATACCTTACTAACATATATACACCGTTCTATATCACACATTTTTGCTGTTAAGAGTATGTAAATGAACTGTAAGTAACTATCAAACATCTTTATTTTGACAACAGCCTTCTGGAACATGAAACACTACTGTGCACAGTGCTAAACATTTGGTACTTGATTCTGCACAATACACATTTATATGCACTCTAATCCCCAAGGAAGCCCCAGATCTGGTGAAACATTTTGGGAGGATTTTTCCCTTTTATTTGAGTTTAGCACTATGCACTTTATTCTGTGTTGAGAGGCTGTTACCATATGGAAAGAGAAGTGAGTAGACTAAGTGGAATAGTCAGCAAAGCAAAAGATGGAAAAAGAAGAGACAGTAAGGAAAAAGACCAGAAAGAGGAACAAAAATAGTAGGATATTCTGGCAGAAATAGAGGAGTAGACAAAACAAAAGTGAAAAAGCAAGGTCATAGCTGCCAAAAATGAGAAAAGAGGATAACATAATCAGTAAGAAAGAGAGCTTTAGTTACTATTGTAGAAAATTAGAAGTTGAGTGGTATAAAATTATAGGTATCGCTACCAGTACTCCTATTCCTATAGATTATATAGCCTTCATTAAATATATAAATGAAAATAGAAAGTTTTAAATGTGTAAATAAAGGTTATTTTGTAATAGGGAAGATGTCCAAAAACTAAAACGAGCATCCATTTCTGCTTAATTCTATTCAGAAAAGCATTTGTCATAAAAAGTTACAGTATTCAGTTTTTTTAAATGATTGTGCTGAGGATTAAGCCTGCATTCACACCTAGCCTAAGTGTCAGCGGTTCAGCGTATTTTCCACGGTTTTTCTTTTTACAAATTTTTGCACAATACACACAAGTTTTGCGCACTTTAGCAGATTTTTTTTAAGGCTCTGTATATGATGAGGCATCCAATGAAAAGCAGTCCCTGATGTGACATCATTCCTGTTTCTGTTTGTTGGGGTGTCATTGAGAGAGAGGAGAGTGTTTGTGTTGCATTGCAAAGATAGATTCATCAAATAAGTGCATCATAGCGGCTGTAGTGACTACTTTCTGATTCTTAAGAAAAAAAAGAAAATGGAGGCAAAGGTTCTTGGTCCATCCTTTGACCACGAGCCAACAACAAGACAGGTTCTGGTCCATGTATGATGATCTCCGTGGGCATGAGGATACATTTTTCTTTTTGGGTACTCCCGCATGTTAATGCGAGTCCACATGCTCAAGCTCACTTGATTTTAGTAGTTTGTGACCTTGCATGTGCATCATTATCTTGAGTGAGGCATGTTAGATGAATCAGTGGCATGTATCCAAACTGGAGCAGGCTAAATATGGAGCAGTTGCCTATAGCAACCAATATGCCTCTATTTTTTTAGTTAATTTTTGAAAATAAGTGAGAATAATTTTTTTTCCTCCTTTAAATGCTGCAGATTTTGTTTGCTCCCATTAGGATATATTTTTCCCCATTGTGTCTTCTATTGAACACTCACAGGCACTTATTTTGCTACACTTCAGATGAGCTACTGGGGATACGGTCCATGTATTTAGAGCGTCGGGACATCTTCTACTGGGAAAGTGTTCCAGCCGTTGAAAGACTCATCACCTTGTGGTAAGTAGATTTTACTAGGATTGTGCCACCAGGTGTGCAATTTGTCAAGAGTGGAGTAGACAGAATCTGTAGCTGTTGGCAATAGTAGCCCATCAGTTCCTCTCTTCAGTTTTTTCAGTTAGCTAAATAAAAACAGAAAGTGAGCAACTGGTTGATATGGGCAACTGCCTAAAATCCTGTCTTCTCCATTTTGGAGAAATTGCTCTCTGGAGGGGGAGAAAAACTGAAGTAGACAGAATGAGTAGCAGTTAGAAATAGTAACCTATCAGTCTCTCTCTTCCGTTCCGTCTTTGTTAATTTTTTAAGCTTTGTAAATTAAATAGGAGAAGCTGATTGATTGTCATGCACAACTGCTCCAGATTCTGTCTGCTCCAGTTTGGAGAAAGTTCCCTGCGTTTCCTCACACACAGTGCATTGTAGACCCTGTGCAAATGGTGATTGGCAAGGAATGGCTGGCTGTGGGAGGGGTATCCATATGGGGATGCGGTGCAGAGGAGCCTGTGTTGGGAGTGGCATTGGAAACTCATGGGTGGTTGTGCATGGATTTGGGAAGGTGGGCACGGTTGGTGTACAAGGATGATGGGGTGTTGTGCGGGAAGGGGCTTTCCCCCCTGGGAATGAACAAGGTGAGGCAGTCAAAAAGCACCTATTGGAGCATCCTACTGCCTTTCTTCTGGCACCCTTTCCAAGAGATCCTCAAGATCAGGAGCAAAAAGGCCCTGGAGGAAAGCTTGGATTATGGGTGTGCCATGTTTTCTAGCCACAAGCTTCTCGGTGTTGTTATCATGGCCCCCTCTATTTCACACTCTTGCATTTGTCCTCTGACGAAGAGGGCCTGGAGCTGGGTGTGCTGCTGATGTTGGCATTGTGGATGTGGCCTGCTGGTGGATCAGCGGTGGAGGTGGATGGAATCACCTCTGGCTCTTGGGGAAGTGCCATCTGATCCGTTTCTTCAGCTTCAGGGGCTTGTGCTGCCTCCCAGCTACTTTCGGTAGGGATGTCCAGACACCAATTACTGTACTTGGTACAAGTACAGATACTTTTCCAGCTCCAAGACTAGACAAAAACTCAAAAGTTAGTAGGCAGCTGTAATTTTTAAGGAGCATACAGGGATTCTGGGATTTGTGCATCCCTGTTTTAATGTAGGATTTGATATATATACACACACACACACACACACACACACACACACACACACACACACACATACATATATACACTAATCACCAAAAGTATTGGGACGCCCCTCCAAATCATTGGATTCAGGTGTTCCGTGAAATTTCCTTGCTACTAAATATTCCACGGTCAACTGTTAGTGGTATTATAACAAAGTGGAAGCAACTGGGAACAACAGCAACTCAGTCACGAAGTGGTAGGCCACGTAAAATGACAGAGCGGGGTCAGCACATGCTGGAGCGCAGTGTGCAGAAGTCGCCAACTGTCTGCAGAGTCAATAGCTACAGACCTTCAAACTTCGTGTGGCCTTCAGATTGGCACAACAGTGCGTAGAGACCTTCATGGAATGGGTTTTCATGGCCGAGTAGCTGCATCCAAGCCTTAGATCACCAAGTGCAATGCAAAGCGTCGGATACAGTGGTGTAAAGCACGCCGCCACTGGACTCTAGAGAAGTGGAGATGTGTTCTGTGGAGTGACGAATCACGAAGGGAACTCTTAAGGCATCGGCATCCCAAGACATTTTGGACAATTGCATGAACAGTTTGGGGATGGCCCCTTCCAGTTCCAACATGACTGCGCACCAGTGCACAAAGCAAGGTCCATAAATACATGGATGAGCGCATTTGGGGTGGAGGAACTTGACTGGCCTGCGCAGAGTCCTGACCTCAACCTGATAGAACACCTTTGGGATGAATTAGAGTTGAGACTGCGAGCCAGGCCTTCTCGTCCAACATCAGTACCTGACCTCACAAATGCGCTTCTGGAAGAATGGTCAAACATTCCCATAGACACACTCCTAAACCTTGTGGACAGTCTTCCCAGAAAAGTTGAAGCTGTTATAGCTGCAAAGGGTGGGCCAACTCAATAGTGAACCCTACGGACTAAGACTGGGATGCCATTAAAGTTCATGTGCGTGTAAAGACAGGCGTCCCAATACTTTTGGCAATATAGTGCATTTCTGATGCACATTTGATGACTTGTTTCTGTTACTAAATAAAAATTATATAAAATGATAGTGAGGGGCGTGGCGCACGGAGCTTTGAGTCGCTTTTCAGATCGGCTCCCGCTACTTCAGGCTTTCTTACGGTGACAACAGTTCATCCTCTTTCCACAATCTCGCTGATGGGGAAGCAGAGACTGAAAGAATGCCAACAGGCGGGTGGCAGCTCTCGCCCATGGGAGATCAAGCGTTTTTTGCCCCGCTCTTCATCCTCTACACAGGAGCAGACACATGCAGCCAGGATGTCACCAACCGCTCTTTCCCCAGACCGCTCGGACTGCTCAGTAGGAACAGGTGAGCCCTACACACCGCTCCCACTCACCTCATGGCTCAGCATGATTCTCTCAGAGAGCAAGGAGCATGTCACATGAAGCCTGGGAGATAGAGTCATATATTAAAGCTATGCTTACTAAAAAAGGATGTTGAATCCCTTTTCCACTGCCTGGAGAATATATTCAAACGAAGAGATGGTCACTCTGAAAAAGGACTTAAAACACTAGATTGGAAGATATTGAGCAAACAGCCACTGATTTGCATTTGCGCTGGTCACTTCATGATAGCACTCTCCAAGAACACACGGTGCTGCTACACCAATTGCTTTACAATCAGGATGACATTAAAAATCGTAGCCAACGCAATAATATCCGCATATGTGGCCTGCCTGAGTCAGTTGGAGCTAGGGATCTGGAATCTGTGGAAACTGCAATTTTCAATCGGCTTTTGACTAAACCCAACGATTCTCCTATTGAACTGGATAGAATTCACAGAGCTTTGGAAGCAAGATGCCCTGACCTCTCCAATCCCCGAAATGTAATCTGCCGGGTTTATTTCTTCATGGACAAATATGAAATCATGCGAGAAACCAGAACACAAGATGCCATCATGTTCAATGACACCAAGATCATTCTGCTTCCTCATCTTTCCAGTCACACACTGGTTTTGAGAAGGGCACTTAGACCTCTGCTGGAAGCTTTACGACATCGGAATATTGGATATCGCTGGGATTTTGCCTTTCAACTTGTTGCTAATCATGACAGCAAGACTGCCACTCTTCGTTCTGAGTGATCTGCCCTCCTTTTTAGGGAAATTGGAGTTCGTAAATATTGCTCTACCTGATTGGCTGCTGAAAACCACTCGCCAGGGTTTGTCTCCCAGGGCTCCTGGTAGAGGAAGTCA